CTCAGGTAGAAAATATCATCACTATTTTTAAAGTGTCCAAAAAGTAATAATCACAGACCATATTTTTAAGTGAAAATAGAAAGAAAAAAACAAAAACAAAAAAGAAACAAACAAAAAACAATTAATGTATTGCTTGTCATTCAAGAGATATAATATTTAATTATACAGTTTAGCCTAACACCCAAAGCATGGCACAATCTCTTACTTTAAAATACTTGGGTCCTTTGAAGTCAGGACTTCTTTTTTGTGGTACTTTGTTAACAAAAAGTCTTTGGCAATTCTGCTGGACAGAATTTATAGCAGCAGGTCAAAAGACAGTTCCTGGAGGAATTCGGCAGCTCTTTGTAGTAAATCAGCAGTCACGTCTTTGATAAATATCTCCCAAGCCCAGCAGTAACTGGTGCTTGGTGCTGAAAGATGAGGCAGTGGACTCGTATGAGTCATGTAGTTCAGTGAAAGACACGCAGTAACAAGGAACTAGTGAACAGCTTCTGAAAATGTTATGGTTAGACCAGTGCTTGTCAACACTGAACTAGTGCTAGAAAACAAAAGTAAAGTCTGTCCTGGCACATAAATTCAAATCTCCTGCTCAGGTATGAAGTAAGTGTGCAGCACTTTGGAGGATAATAAGGCTCTAACCCAAACAAAGAATACAAAAACTTTTTAGAGGAATGAAGGCCTCTGCGGACCTTCCTACTGTGTTTGCATCATGAACTGCTGTGCTTAGTCTGTTACTTGATAACTTTTGAAATGGAGGCCTTGAAAGCACAGAGTAGTTCACGTAGTCCACAGTTCAGTGAGCTGAGGGTTGGTCCTGCAGCTGCAACAGAAACAAACAACCTTACAGGACCACTTTGAACAAGCTTATGGGACTGCTGTTCACAAACGGCTCTTTTTTTGCCTTTCATAGTTAGACCTGCCCTGCCAATCAGCTGCACTCAAGTCACTGAGAATATTTTTCGTGGCCTTTAATAGGGACCATGAGGAGTTGCCATGGGTGCAGCAGGACTACTGGCTGGCTGGGGAGGGCAAGAGTAGAGGAACGAAGCTTCTGGGCCAGTTTTCACCACACGGAAGCAGCACTCCCATGGGAGATGTCATGGCATTTCAACACTGCGCAGCTTGTCAGTGCCTCATCATATTAACCTCAGAGCAAACGCTGATGAAGCTATGCATGTCTAGGGGAAATTAGAGCACTGGTGCCCTCGACCCTGGAGCGGGGTAAAGCTTGGGATAACTGTTAATGCACTGGCTCATGAGCTTCTACCATTAGAACAGAGTAGAAGAGGATGCCAACAACTGTAGGAGAGGGAAAATTAATTGGTCTTATTATTCTTCTGGCTGAGATTTACGGGCCTGTCTCATCAAGACTATGGTGTAGACATAAATGAAAATAGGTGTGAGGAGCAGCTTAATTTGACAGTATGAAAATCTGTCCCCAGCTGGCAAATAAATCTCTTTCCTTCTTCTACTAAAGAAAAAAAAAAAAAAAAAAAAAAAAAAACAACAAAACAGTCCATCTAGTTAAAAAATGGATTAATTCCCATCCAAGACATCAGGAAAGTTGGTCTTGTTAAAAATCTGGATTCGCTCCCATCCAAGCCATCAGATCATCATCCAGGTACTGGAATCACGCTAGAAAAAATATTATTTCATATTCTTTTCTTCCCAACTCAGTATCTGGCTTCTTTCCACCAGGAGAGGGAAGGCCTCCCTCTGAGAGGAATGGCACCAAGCCCTTTTTGCACTGTTTTAAGGACTGCTTATTATAATTCCCTTCTTTGTCAGATTCCGTGCACTTTATCCCAAGAGCAAATATAAGTCTGGTCTGACTCATTAAGGTCTTTCTGAAAATGCAGTAGGATTTCTGGTAATAGTCTTCTGAACCTCTTAATGAGGGAGATGTGTCTTCGCAATAGGAATCAGAGCACATGAGAATTTCTGAAAATATTTCACTAATTCTGCCCTTATAGCTAAACAAAAATTACTTACATACAGGACCCAGATTCTAGGTAAAACTGACTGTATTCAGGACCAGGCATTTACAGATGGAGGTTTCTCCAGAATAATAAATTATCTCAGAAGAGATACAGAGGAATCATTGTTTCTCAAGCAGTAATGTTTAGAAGTCCCCTCTGTGGATTCACAGTTAACACCCATGATTCAGGATGAAGCTGTTTTGTGGTTTGGGGAAGGATAAGTTTTAAAGCGTGATAAAGGGCCAGGTCTAATAAACCACTAAGATCTGCAGTGTCTCCTGCCTCTTTATATGTACTATATATTATCAAACACAATACAATAAAAGTTTGTGTTCAGGGATTAATAAACACAGAGATAAAATGTGTGTTACTGTATATTCTAAGACCATTGTAAAGTTGGTTTTCCTGTTGACATAAAATAATGTAAGCTACCTAAGATTGTAACTTGTTAACTAGACTGTGTGGATAAATGTAGTACAAATGAACCTAAGGTTTACGGGGAAGAGACCCAACTGTCTCTACTATGTTGATGCAAGTGAGAAAGAAAATTGGTTCACAGTAATTTTATATTTCAGCTCAAATGAGGAAGTTCATAACTTTCATGAAACTGACCTCAGACAGTGTGAGAGAATAGATGAGCAAGTGGGGAGCACAAATGCTATGGATTCTCAAGACCCACACAATTTTAAAAGATTGTTTCACATGATGCCAATCCTCCCTTCTTGACCCTCACTCCTTCCTGTTCCAACTTCCGTGGCTTTGCAATCACATTTATCTACCTTTTAATATGCCTTTCTCTCCCCTGTTGCTGTGTGAAAGACTCCCACAAACCACAAGATAAACTAATTCAGGACTAGGTTTTCTGAAGCACTGAGTTCCCATTCAGGTCCTCAAATATATGCCAGGTTTTCAGCAGCTTGTGTGATTTTTTTATCCTCTTCTGGAGTGTATTTCATTTACTACAAAAATAGGTCAAGATGAACAACAAAAATAAGTCAGAATGATCTAAGTAGATGAGTGATTACCTACCTGACTCTGTCCTGTATGAGGAAAGGCTGAGTAACCTGAATCTGTTCATCCTGGAAAAGAGGACTGAGAAGGGATCTGATAAATGTTTATAAATATCAAAAGAGAGGTGGGAGGCAAATGGATGAGACCATGCTCTTTTTATTGGTGTGCAGCAATAGGAACAAGGAGCGATGTCCTAAAACTTGAATGTAGGAGGTTCCATACAAATGTGCGGAAGAACTTTATGGTAAGGGTGACAAAGCACTGAAACAGGTTATCCATAGAAGTGTGGAGTATCCTTCTATGGAGATATTTAAGACCCATCTGGATGCCTACCTATGTGACCTATTGTAGGGTATCTGCTCTAGCAGGGGGATCGGACTCTATACCGTGACATCCCTTCCAAGCCCTGCAATTCTGTGACTCTGGGACTACCTTGCTAGCAATCCTTAATTTGTGAATGAGCTACCCATTATTATTATGGTTTTGCTGTAGCAGTTGAGCTCCACTAATTTCCAATAGAACAGAATATATTCCTTCTGCAGAATGCTAAGAAAGGAGAGAATGGCTTCTGTAGCATTGCTTTTTGTAGTGATATTTATTGCAACAGTTACCACAATCCTTAAACTCAGAAAAATCTCAGGTCTCACAAAATCAGGGGACTTTAAAAACATTTACTCACCACTGATATTATCATTTGTCTCCTACCTTTGAAGTACATTTGGGGTTTCATTATGAAGAATTGCTCACTTATAAGATTAGAAATACAGCCTTTAAAAAAGCAAATTTAGGGACTTCTAGATAATAATTTGAAGATTGAATTGTGAGACCTTTGATAAAATCCTAATAAGAGGCAGCATTAACAGTGTGAATGTTACTGCAATTAATGAGTTTCAAGAATGCTATTAAGAGAGAATAGTGCCTCTGTGTGCAGAATACTTTTTTCCCATAAAACTATAGAACTTGGCTTTGTATGTAGCTGCCAACTTGAATTAGTCAGGAACAATTCATGTCAAACTATCCTGATTTCCCACTTCAGTAAAGCAAGAGACTTTGTGGGCAGAAGAGCAACACAAGTACTTATATCTCCACTTCAGAAAGTTTTTGTTTTTTTATGTTGTCTCAAGTGACATTACTGCGAGCAAATTAGGGAAACAAGATAGTTGTTGATCCAAGACAGATGTCTATAGGATTCAAAATTACTGTACAGAATTTGCTGGAAAAATATACTTAAAAAGAAATGAGAAATGGTCCGCTGCCAGAATACAAGGCTGTATGATGTGGCATTTCCTAGCAGTCCTCCTCAGCCAGTTTAATATTTAAATTAATAAAATTTCCTGTTACAATTTTAAGCAATGGAAAAGGTTGGAGGAGCTGCAGGCACACTGAAAACTAGATGGCAGACTGACAAAGAAAGTGGTCAAATGGCTTTAAAAACAAAGCGAGATGCAGTTTAGTATGGACAATGGCTCTAAACAAAGTCAGGAATAGCCACATGCAAAAATTCAAGACAGAGAATAATCAATTCTGCAGAAAAGTCTTTGAAAATAGTAGTGATTTACAAACTGCATAAGGTACCATGCAGGTGGGGTCGAAAGGAAGAAAGAGAGGGGAAGGGAAGGGAAGGGAAGGGAAGGGAAGGGAAGGGAAGGGAAGGGAAGGGAAGGGAAGGGAAGGGAAGGGAAGGGAAGGGAAGGGAAGGGAAGGGAAGGGAAGGGAAGGGAAGGGAAGGGAAGGGAAGGGAAGGGAAGGGAAGGGAAGGGAAGGGAAGGGAAGGGAAGGGAAGGGAAGGGAAGGGAAGGGAAGGGAAGGGAAGGGAAGGGAAGGGAAGGGAAGGGAAGGGAAGGGAAGGGAAGGGAAGGGAAGGGAAGGGAAGGGAAGGGAAGGGAAGGGAAGGGAAGGGAAGGGAAGGGAAGGGAAGGGAAGGGAAGGGAAGGGAAGGGAAGGGAAGGGAAGGGAAGGGAAGGGAAGGGAAGGGAAGGGAAGGGAAGGGAAGGGAAGGGAAGGGAAGGGAAGGGAACGTCATATAATACAGTACAAATATTTCTGTTGGAAAAGTGCAACAGTCCTTCTCTCACTAGTGCTGCCAAAATTATAAGTGAAGCTCCATTCCCAGTAATCAATACCACATTTCAAAGAAGAGCTAAACCGCAGAAAGAGAAATTAGAATAATTTTCAATCATACACAAGGTAGCAGAAGAAAGAATGTTCTAATAATGACTGTAAAGAAAATAATCATAGATTAAAAGAGCAACAGCAGATATTTAGAAGGGCTGCTCCAAAAGTAATGCCTCCTAGTGTATTATGTTGACCCATGACATCAGCGACAAATATTGGTGATACGGCAGTAGAGGTTAAACCTGCCCACCAGTATGTCATTACACGTTGTTGTCATGTGACAAATGGCAGCAGAGGGGCACTTTGACACAATGGTGTTTCACAGGGAAGTGTGTATGAAGCAAAGGGGTGGAACTGAATTCTTCCATGAAAAAAAAAAAATGGCACCCATTGACATCATTGATGCTTGCTGAACAAACAGTGGATGTGAACACACTTCAGCAGTGGTGACAGCAACAGTGTGTCACCTCCACTGGTGAAGATGTTTACAAGCACGACATGCAGGCTGTTGTCCATTGCTAGCGAAATTGCATAGCTAATGATGGAGAAATGTGTTGAAAGATAGTAGTTTGCAGCTGAGAATTTTCTCTATTAAATAGTGTTATTATAGTATCTGCTGCAGTTTCCGTGGATATAAGCAGGAGGCATTACTTCTGGAGCAACCTACATAGATTAATCTTTAGGACAAATTTCAGTGAACAGAAGTAACAACTTCTATCAGAACAATAAGATAACCAAATGAAAGAAGTTACATCACTAACTATGAAATGAAACAATATCATCTTGTTGTGTACTGCTGCTTCTGAAAATAATCCAAAGAAGAATTTCATGTTGCATTACATGCAAACAACTTCAGACAGATTATTGTAGCACAGTCCAATGAAGTTTGCAATTTAAAGGGATGCAGAGATAAAAGTATAAGATGGGAGGAGGTGTAGTTGAGCAATTTTTCAAAAGATGTGGAGAAAAGCTAAGAGTACCTAGGTCATTTTGTTTCCAGCTAGTCATTTTCAGTTATTATTTCACATTGTCTCTATTATGCATAAACTGAAATTAACCGAGTGATTATTTTTGGAAGTGTAATCAGAGAGAGAAATAACAAAATTAGTGTAGGTTGGTTTAAATTTTATCTACCCTGGTTGATAATTCTGTACTGTTTGGTCTCTTTCTGTACCTTTTTGGTATCAATGCCCCAAAAGATAGTCACAAAAATTTTAGTTTGTCAGTCATAGGATCTGAAAAATTGCAAAGAAATTCAACTGCAACCTAAGTTTTCCCAAAAGAGACTGACAGATAAATCTGGATATTATTTACATAGTGTTAGACAGCCAACAAAGAAACAAATGTATGAGTAAATGAATTCATTATATCTTCCTTAAAAGGTCTACAGTCACCTTTCCTCATTTTGTATGTCACCTTTAGGTGTGTGATTGCTACAGTTTCACCTTAACACACTGAGAAACTGAACAGATTGCAGAAAAGTGAGGATCCCACTGAATTTATTAGCTTGCCCTGCTTAAGAGAAAACTAAAAAATTGATAAGGAATTGAAGAAGTTAATTGAATCTGCTTATTCTAACAATAGCCACAGGCAAAGAAGATGTACTGATGTTAGATAATACAGTTTCATTTCTCCCTTGTCCTGAAAGGTGATATGTGTTAGAAGTAATGCCCCTTGGCACAAGAGTTTGCTGGAATGTACTGTTTAGCATGGATCAGTGATCTTAAAGCTTTCCAAAGAGGGTGCAAATGTCAGTCCATTGAGTAATGAGCACCAGGGAGGATTGTTCCCAACAGAATCTGTCTAAATAAATACAAAACTACTATCTGTCAGTCTGAAAAGAAGGTCAAAGGCTATTTTTTTTTTCATCTGATTACTTGTTTGTCAAGCGTACAAAACAATACATAAAAAATAAGGAAATGAGGAAATACCAACTGGCATATGGCAGAGCTTTATGAGATAGGTCAGACTGTGTGCAGAACTGTTCCCAAACAGTCATATGAGAGTCATGAAAATTATTTTCTTTCCCAGAAAGAAAACATCTTTTAACTACATTTGAGATATGCAATTGCACCAGTATTTGGACCCAAAGTGTTTTCAAATAAATATTTTGGGAGGAATTGAGAAGTGAATTCTGGGTAACTGAATGGCTATTCATTTCTCATTAGCAGTGGGTTACTCTAGGAGAAAGATCTTTTTTTATCCTGTGATCTGCAGTGTCCATGCAGGCAGTCTATGAAAAGTAACAGAGACAAGAAGAAATTTTCTACAGATTTATATACACGATGCTGTACCTTCACTAGATGAATGCCGGAAGTCCAGAAGTTGAAAATATTTGAAAGCCACTGCCATAAGCAGAAATTGAGATATACACACTGAGGAATCAGTCCATCTCTCAGTATCTTCAGTGAGGGCTTGGATGACTCCCTCATTCAAGCCCATGGGAATCAATGTGAGTCATTCAGAGCCTTCAATGGATTATGGACCTGGCTGTATTTGAATAGCAAAATTTATTTTAAAATAAAATTTTAATTTATTTGCAAATGATTTGTGTACCAGAAAGAAACTAATTTATAATTAGTTCCTTATTAGATAATAATTAGATTATTAGATAATAATCAAATAAATATTTTGCTGTAAATAATTTGCCCTAAATCTGATGCTTAACTGATTTCCCTCGTAACTTCTGTATAATATCTGTGAACCTAAACTGTAATCTAAATGGAGTAAAACTGAATTCCTGCATTCCATGGAGTTCTTTTTGAAGGTTTTATATGCTATATATACACACTATATTCATATTTAAAACAGCTGTTTAACATATGAGGATTTTACTACTTAGTTTACTTGTACCATTTTTCCATTAATAAATTCACCATATATACAGGCTTACGAACAGACTAAAACAGACCCAAATGTTCTAAATACACAGTCAGTTCATTAATAAATGATAATAAAGCAAGGGAAAATGTACAATTTTCCTATTCATGCAAGAAGATATGCAAGAGAAACAGATTGATATCATCCAAGTTCATAGACCTCAGGAATAAAACCATGTAAGCCTTCATCTACCAAAGAAAATTTTTAAAAACCCAACAAACAAACAAACAAACAAACAACAAAAAAACAGCCATGTGTTTAACAACAACAACAAAAAAAAAAAAAAAAAACAAAACAAAACAACAACAACAACAAAAAACCTTCAAGAAAGTTCCAAAGGAAAAGAATTAGAGACACATCTTTTCCTGGTTCTGGTCTTGCTCTATTCTCAGTCCCAGGTAGTGAAGATATATTTCCTAAAACAAAAGCACACTGTGATATTTTCAAAGGTACTTCGAGATCACGCTGGCTGAAACCAGCTGAATGATGTTGCAATTCAAATGTATTATATCTAAGGCACCAAAAGCTACTGCTCTTTTAAGAAACTTTGGGTCATAAAAATGCCTGCTTTCAGATTCATTGTTAATACTGAGCCTAACAAACACACTTTACACAGTTCAGAGAGCCTGCAACCATCACCGCCAGCACAGACACGCTCACCCTTTTACATAGAATCAATGGCAAACTGTGCCACAGCTCTGCCCCGCGTGGAGATGACAAACAGATGAGTTCCCACACTTGTATTCACTTGGGTTCTTTTTGGCAATTTTAGATGAATTCAGAGGTCACTGAAAAGTGAACCCTGACAGGACGAAATGCTTAAATTACAAGGAAAAAAGCAAACAAACTTGACCCCTACACTTCGTGATGGCTCTGACAATCACGAATTTAAAAAATAAGCAATAAAAACAGAGGAAATTGCTGAAGGTTTGATAGGGAAAAAAAGTCTTGTGCAACATGTTATGATATCACTCCATGAAACAGAAAGATTGAAATCCACTGTATCCTTCAGGTTTTCTAATTCTCCTCTCTCCCTAAAAATTCATGGGCTAGGGACAAGTGTGGTGCACACTAAGCATTCCAATTGCTTTTGAAAGGAGCATTTTGCTAGTGGAAAATGTGCCGTCTCTTTGATTGCAAATGTAGTTGATTGTGAGGAGAATGAAAGGATGACCTATGACATGACCTGCTAACGCAGTAAGGTCATTTTTTTTTTTCCCACTCCTCACACAAAAGATAAGAGGATGACTGCTTACAAAGTGTTCTGGCAAATAGACAAATTAGGACTGCCTGGACTCCCGCTCCACTCAGGCAAGTTATTCTAAGTAAAGATAAGTGAAAGTTTGAAATGTTTTGAGGAGGAGGCAGGCTGCAAGCTTTCATTCCTTCCCCAAATGGATGGGTTGTGAAGGAGCAGAGCAGGGCAAAAAATGTCTTGCTGAGGAGTTTCAGATTTCAGATGTGATGTTTCTGTAACTGTGTGGTGAGAGGAGGACAGACTGGCTGCATGGGTTGCAAAGACAGTCTGAGCTAAGGACACCAACCCTCAGTTTGACTCCCAGGTTGACCATTTATTTTCTGAGAGGCACCACACTAAAAGAGACAAGCAGGTAAAAACCTCCTCTCAGATGCCTAGTTGCAAGCCAAGTTTCATACAACCACATCACCATAGCACTACATTCAAATAATGCCTGCCCTTTCAGGATAACTGGAATCAGGAAAATTCAACTATGTCTTCCAGATCCAAACTTGCATCTCTCCAGCCAGGTCAATGCATGGGCAAGGTTCCATCCATATATGCACACATATATAAACCTACTTTTGGTCTATTCTCAGACCAACATTTCAAGCACTGCAGGAGACAGGGAAGATATTTTCATAAATTGGTGGTGTGATATGAGATGAAATGACCTGTGAGTGAAAGTGTTCATATAGGACTGTGCTGCTCATTTATATACCCTACCTAGAAAACTGAGATGGGTTTTAGAAAAATTAGTGTCAATTCTCAGTTGACCCTTCCATACAGCTATGGTTTGGGTGAAAGTTCCCTTGTTCCAACAACAGCAACAAACCAACAGCATAAAGCTCAATCATTTTAGCATAGGATTGCTCTGAGATTTGGATTTTGAACACTAACAATCAGCACAGAATTCCTGAGTATGAACTCATTCAAACCAAAACTGAAACAGGTTTTTGTGAAACCCAGGAAGCCTGAAAAACCAACTTTTTAAGCAGTGCTACAAACCAAGCTGCAGAAAACCTCAGAAAAGCCCAAGTAGCACACACACACACACACACAAAACAGATGGAGAATGTCATTTTCTAGAACTGCTTAATAATCCTGCCTACAAAACTGGCAGGTTCTCTAATTTCTGTTTGATCTGCTTCAGAAATATACAGTATCATTATAATTCCAACTAAAGTTTATCCATCACACACCTGGTACCAGCTGCAAATCTAGCAACTATCCCATGGAAAGTAGAATCTTAATCACCCACCATAGGGTGACAGATCAGATATATGTTTTCAACACATTCATAAAACGCTATCAAATGCAGTGAAATGTGATTTCACCTCACAAACATTTTTTAAAGGAAATGGAATATTCTTGGGAAATTCTGGAAGACTAGCAAAAAGAGAAATGTATCCCAGCATCACCCCATTGAACCAGATCTTCACCATCTGACACAATGTCGCTGTCAGTTCATTTGGGCTCTGGCCCAAAGGAATCTCCAGGCAAGAACTTGACTCTAAACATGGCAGCAATCTCATCCAAGCATTCATATGCTTTAAATGAAACTTCAGTGCTTCAAAAGAGGCTGAAGCTACATTAATAGATAAGTGAGAGGTAAATCTGAAGCTAACTCTTGCATAAAGTACAAAGACAGATCTTTTAAGTATTTTTCTCCATAATCAAAATGAATATATTAATGAACCTCTTAGCCCTGACAAAGTTGAATATGCGACATGAAATAAGCAATGAGAGTGAGCCTGGCCCCACACAAAGCACACAGTTCCTATTCTCTTTTGGTAGAATCTTTGGAAAAATTCAGTCCTATGTATCTGTCAAGCCAAATCTTCATCTGTGACCAGAACAATGAAGATAGAGAATCTGGAGATCATTTCCCTCAACACTGTCTTGGACACGCTGATATTATTATGATGTTGTAGTGCATCCATACCTTCTATGTCATGATTATATTGCTAAAATATGTGGGCATATCTGCACAGTGATTCACCATTAGGTTAAAATGAGTAAAGTCAAATAGAAACTTTTATTGCTCCTTGTTTTAGAATATAACAGAAAATACTTGACATCTGGTCTCTTTTAATGGCATCTGGAGTTGTGTCTAAGCAGATACTACAAAATCAGTTTCTTCAATCGCATTTGAATTTCAGTATGAGCTATTTCAGCAGATACACACAGTCTTCATTTTAAAGCTAGTTAAACTTACAAGGCAAGAAGGATCACTCTCTAGGGCTCCTTTGGTTAAAATCAGCATCTGTACATTTTACTCTTTGATCTCTGAACAACAAAGAGAAACCTCAACTTGGAGGCAGGATGAGGTAGAGAAGCTGAAGAAAGAAAGAATTCTTTGAACAGAACCATCAGCTGTCATTCAACACAAAGGCAGGACACTTCTGTTACCTTTTTGGATTGTGGACTTGTTTTGATTTCCATCTTGCTTTTGCTTTTCTTTCAGGAAGAAGAAAGATTTGCCAGTAGCTTGTGAAACATTTCAGAATTCCACCGTTCTATTGCCTGCACTCAACATTATCTTCTAATCTCCAGCAAAAAAAATACAAGAACAATCAAATAGGGTTACCAGGAGCAATGGCATTGCTTCTGATGGATACAGAATTACAGATACTAGGGTGAACAGGAACAGAAACTGTACAGGTTTAACAGATCTAACAACTGGTGCATGGTCATGGGCTTGTACTCTCAGACGCTTCAGTTGTCTTCTGTGTAACTAATTACATGGAATATTTGAATCAATATTCACAGAGTCTGACTCATAAAGAGTACTCGGAGAGATTGGGTAGCTAATTCCAGCTCTGCAGTGACTGATTCATAGCTCAGCAACCAACAGTCAGATGCAGTATCAAATTCACATTGAGTTTTCTCTGTTTTGGCCCCTTGAAGGGACAGAGAACTATACAGTTACCACCTATCAGCTGTCCTGTAGCATCTATGCTGTCAAGCTGGTAGACTTGGAGGCAAAAAGACTCACAGAGTTTTAATCTACTTTATATCAGTTTACAACTGGAATAGACTAAAGACAGATATAGCCAGTAACCAACTGTTACTGCAGTTCTGCTGCCAGGCAGTAACTTATTAAGTTGCTATAATTCAGCTGTCTGTCTGAACTCTAGCACATTTGGTTAATGAACGCTCGTTAATTATTCTTAACCATGCTGAGATTTCTATTAGAAGCATGCAATTTAGGTTTTTGAGCATGGCTGCTGGGCTTTGGAAAAAGAGGAGGAAGTTAGTTAACTTTTCCACATGCATACAGAAAAATCAGAGATCAGAATTTCTTTTTGTTTTTCTGATTACTATCAAATGATTCCCTCAGTCACTTTACATACAGGCACTTATACTCAGC